GGAGGTTGGCACCCAGTGGGCAGCTGGCACCCGGGGGGCAGGGGCAGGCGGGGGCCCAGCGGGCAGGGGGAGGCTGGTGCCTGGAGGGCAGGGGCAGGCAGGCATGGGCCCGGCGGGCAGGGGGAGGCTGGTGCCCGGGGGGCAGGTGGGGGTCCAGCGGGAGGCAGGGGGAGGCGGGGGCCCGGCAGGCATGGGGAGGCTGGTGCCCGGGGGGCAGGTGGGGGCCCAGCGGGAGGCGGGGTCTGGCGGGCAGGCCCTGGTGACACCGTGCCCCGCACAGGTCCCTTCGTGGCCGTGCTGCTGGCGAAGCTGGAGAACATGGTGCAGAACTCGCTGTACGTCAACGTGCTGCTGACGGGGCTGGTGGCGCGACTCGCCTGCTACCCGCAGCCCCTGCTCCGTTCTTTCCTGCTCAACACCAACATGGTCTTCCAGCCCAGCGTCAAGTCCCTGCTGCAGGTACCGCCCGGGCATGGCCCCTGCCCGCTCTCGGGGTCCTGGGGTCCCTGCTGGGCCTCGCAGCTCGGTGGCAGGGCAGTGACCTGCGGGCGGGGGGGCACCCAGATTGCTGGGGGGGTCGCAGGGCTTGGGGCTGAGTCAGTGGGGAGCCCCTGCCCAGGGCTGCAGGTTCTGGGGTCATCGTATGCTGCCCCTTGGCATCCCCACAGCCTGGCCTGGCGCAAGCTGTCGCTGGGGCCCCCTGCCTGGGCACTGAGCCGCCTGCCTTGCAGGTCCTGGGCTCGGTGAAGAACAAGATCGAGAGCTTTGCCGCCAGACAGGACGACTTCCCCGCCCTGCTCTTCAAAGCCCGCAAGTACCTGCTCGCCCGCGGCCAGCTGGACTGGGCCGACGCCCCCAACGCCGCGCCGGCCCTGCGCCGCTCGGAGACGCTGGGTAGGGCCAGGGCACGGGGGGGAGGCAGGCGGGGGGCTGCCACCTGCTTCGGGCCCGCCTGGCACCGTGCTCGGGCTGTATGTAGCAGGGTTGCCAAGCTCACCCTGCCCCCGGCCACTGAGCCAGCCCATCCCTGTGGGCACAGGGTTCCCTGCTGTGACCGTTCCCCCGGCCCGGCTTGCCCGGCCCGGCTCCCCCAGTGCAGCTTCCCCGGCCCGGCGCCCTCGCCCGGCGCCCTCACCCAGCTCCCCCGGCCCGGCTCCCCCAGTCTGGCCTCCCCGGCCCGGCGCCCCCAGCATCAGCCCCCTCTGGGTCATACTCGCTGGGGTCAGCCCCTCGGCTTCCCCCCCCCCCAGGGACCGACCCTTGGAGCCCCCAGCCCCCGCGTCACGCTGGGATCCCCCTCAGTGAGTCCCCCTGGTGGGAGCCCGGCGGGAGACTTGTCCCCAAAGGGAGCCAGGCACTCCCCTGCCTGACTCTGCAGTGACTCTGCCGGCGGGAACAGCAGGGGGGTGCCTGGGGGTCTGGACCCAGTGCAGAGTCCTGGGTTAGCGCCGGGTCAGATCAGAGCCCAGAGCCCCCCGGCCCCTCTGTAATCCCCAGGACAGGAGCGTGTCCGGCTGACTCCCTTCTCTGCCCCCCCGGGAGCCAGGCCCAGCTCATTCCCTGCTCTCTGCCCCCCCCGGGAGCCAGGCCCGGCTCACTCCCTGCTCTCTGCCCCCCCAGGAGCCTGGCCCCGCGCTCTGCCCCCCCCCCTCCGGGAGCCAGGCCCGGCTCACTCCCCGCGCTCTGCCCTCCCAGAGCCGGGCCCGGCTCACTCCCCGCTCTGCCCGCAGTGAAGAGCCGCAAGCCGTCCATCGGGGAGCTGATCCTGCGACACGCCAACAGCCCGACGCGGGCGCGGCAGGCGGCCCAGCTGGCGCTGCAGCAGGTGCGGGAGGCGCCGGCCGGCGCAGAGAAGCAGAGCGAGGCGCTGCGGGTGAGGAACGCCGTGTACTGCGCCGTCATCTTCAGCGAGTTCCTCAAGGAGCTGGCGGCCATCGCCCAGGCCCACGCGGTCACCTCGCCCTTCCTGCTGGAGCCCGAGGAGTGAGGGCGCCCGCCGGCCCCGGCGCCCGCCGGCCGGGACTCGCCGTTTTAACCTGCCCTCAGGACACGGACCTT